ATGTAATTCAGCCTGTCTGTGGCCACTTCAAAATCCAGAAAAAAATGTGATAAGCACATGTGGTTGAGTTTGATGTTGTTCAGCTGCATATGACCCAACTCTAATTGTAACCTTACTAACTCCTAAGATCCCCACATGGTCCAGATTCTGCCTGGAGCCTCATTCAAAGAACACACATTTCAATACCAGAAGCCTTGAAGAATAGCCTATCTCTTGAAGCTAATTAATAAAATCTTTCAGTTTATTTAATAGATTAAAAACCTTCAATCTAGGTTTTTCTAAAAGGCGTGGCTTAAGGCGTGGCTTTATACTTCACCCTACATCAACAGCTTCTCCAAAATTCTGTGTAGCCACCCGTTCCTCTATTTATACTCATGGCTTTTGCTAATCTTCTTGTTCTCTTCTCATCCACCTAGTTTCTCACTAGTCATGGAGCTTTCCACATTTTTGTATTATGACACATAAAATTTACATACCATTTTCCTCCTTATTTTTGATCAGACCCAGATACTTCTCACTCTTCCAAATTTAGGAACATAGGTGTTTCCCACCTTCAGGCTCAAAAGTACCCTTATGGATTTCCTGGCTAGACTATGCCTCTCCAGGATGACTTGGAGCTCCATACCCCAATTCCTGAATATCCTTCATTTCCTGCATCCCGGCCACCTTCAGAAATGAAATTCTTTGCATGACTCTGATTGGTTTTCTTATGAGAAATTCTAATATAGAATTTCCTAAGAATAACATTTTTCACCTACTAATGGTAACAGTAACCACCATTTGTGCACTGGACTAGCTAAGCTCTCTGAATGCAGCACGTTAAATACACATTTAATAATACTAAAATTATCCCCATGTGACAGATAAGAAAACTGTGACCCAAAAAAGTAAAGTAAGTCATTGCAGCTAATTAGTAATGGATCTGGTGTTTGGGCCCAGGCAGTTTGATTTCAGAATCCTTCCTTTTAGGAGTGATATGAACTTGTTTACCAATTCTCCCCTATTCTGCGTGCTCTTAAATATAGAAGAGAGGGATGGATGTCCCTGAGTAGGAAGAATGTACAAATAGATAATTAATCAGCTGTGCTTTTGGTCCCATGTTACATATATGTGTTAGGAAAAGGGATCCCTTAGTGCTACCCTGGAGGGAAAAAAAATAAAGAAAACAGAAATTCTGAATCAAGGCCACAAATTTGCACGAGAAGGCACATCTTACCACTCGTGATGGCTCCCAGCACCCTTGGCACACTGTTGAATTGTTTTCATTACCAATATTAGTCTCTTCTTTATTCAGCCTAAAAGAAAGGAACAGCAAATGTATGAGGATGTCCTGGTCCCTAGTACTGTCTTTCTGCTACCTCTAAAGTTGTGTATATATGAAGCTTTTAAAACTCATCCTGGATGAATAGGGAGGTTTTCCTACGCATTCCTAGCCAGTCTTTTTGTGAACAAAGAAATTTGCCATTTCCTTCCAATGATCAACAACAAAGATGAATGAGGGGCCTGGTTATTTGGAATTCAACTGCATGATATTGGAAAGGGCCAGTTTGGATGTTGGCGTCGAGCCCTGTGGCATGCCAAAGAAGAATGACACCACTGAGTAGGGCTCTGGCTTTGAGGACAGGTGGTCAAAGGGCTTGATAATTTTGGTTTAAATTACGTTACAGTGGCATAGACAATGCACCAGTGTAGTGTACCAGCAAGAGGACTTTCTTGACCTTCCAGACTTTGTTAGCTGTTCCAAGGGCTCAGATAGATGGTGTCTTTTTGCATGATTGATAATTAGGAAAGTCTTTGCATGACATAATGCTCCAAAAATTGCCCAGGGTCAGTTTGAAAACAGTTGCCTTGGGTTCTGGCTTGACTGCTCGACCTACATGTGAAGCACTGACCACCAAGGGCAAATCTCACTACAGTTCCCCCTTGTACAACCCACATGCAGTGTACATGGCTTTCCGTTTCTCTCAGAGACAGAACAACAAGGAGGCAGTTTGGGTGGGTACTGGAAATGACACTGCACTTGTAGTTAGAAACTTCAGTGCAAAATTCCAATTCTGTCACTTACTTGTTTGAACAAATCCCTTTGACGCTTAGAACCATAGTCTCCCCATGTTTAATATAAGAATGATTGAAAATAATATTTAACTCAAAGCGCTTATGTGGCTAAATTAATTTTTTTTAAATATGTTAAAACAGAAACACTCTTTTATGGTATTTTACCAGTTTTTCTTTGTGGTCCACACTAGGATTTCAGTCCAGTAAATTGAGTTATTGACAAGTCTTTAAATAGTTGCTCCACTTTTATCCCTATTCCTTCTCCCCTCCACCCCAGGATTCTCTGTGAAAATCAAATATGGAATTGTAATGTTAACCATCACTCAAACACATACACATGTAAAAAACAGAATTTCTCCCATTTCCTCTGCAGTGATATCAAAGCTTTAAAAAACAATGGGAACCACCTCATTTCTAGAAAAGAAGAAAAAAGGTTGCAAATTCTTGTTTGTTACTGTGTTTCTTAAGTAGACACTAGGAAACTCAGATTTCTAGCCTGTTAGCAGGTCTAACAACATTATTTTCTCAATCGAGTTCCTCAGCTCTTTAGAGGTATGTTTACATTCCTGTGGCCTTACTTAAGTCTAGAACAGATTCCTCAGGTGATGGTAACTTCTCGTGACTGGAAGTGAGGAGGCAGAAATATATCCTGACAGCCTCCCTTCTGCAGATACTTCTACAGATTTCCAAAGTTCCTGCATGTCTCAGAATCAAAACTTTGCAGAAGCATTCCCAGGATGTCTTTATATGAATTTTAGGATTTTTTTTTTCTATTTTTGTGAAGAAATTTTGATAGGCATTCCATTAAATCTGCAGATTGCTTTGGGTATTATGGCCATTTTAATAATATGAATTCTTCCAGTCCATGAACACAGGATATCTTTCCATTTATTTGTGTCCTCCTCAATTTCTTTCATCAAAGTTTTATAGTTTTTAGTGTAGAGATCTTTCACCTTCTTGTTTATTCCTAGGTATTTTTTTTTTTTGTAGTTACTGTAAATGATATTGTCTTCTTGATTTCTTTTTCAAATAGTTTGCTATTAGCATATAGAAATGTTACTGATTTTTGTATGTTAACTTTGTATCCTGCAACTTTACTGAAATTTGTTTGTTAGTTCTAACAGTGTTTGGTGGAGTCTTCAGGGTTTTCCATACATAAGATCATGTTATCTATAAACAGGGGCTATTCAACTTTCTCTTTCCAATTCCGATGCCTGTTTCTTTCTCTTGTCGAATTGCTCTGGGTAGGACATGCAGAAGAATGAGACTAGACCCCTACCACTCACCATATACAAAAATCAACTCAAAATAAATTAAAGATTTAAATGTAAAACTTAAAACTATGAAACTACTAGAAGAAAGCATAGAGGAAATGCTTCACTGCATTGGGCTAGACAAAGATTTTTTGGGTAAGACCTCAAAAGCACAGGCAACAAAAGCAATAGTAGACAAATGGGATTATATACAATTAAAAAGCTTTTGAACAGCAAAGGAAACTTATATTAACTAAGTGAAGAGACAACCTACAGAATGGCAGAAAATATTTGGAAACCATGCATCTGGCAAGTGTTAATATCCAGAACATGTAAGGAACTTAACAGCGAAATAAATAAATACATAACCCAATTAAAATGGGCAAAAGAACTTGATAGACATTTTTCAAAAGAAGACATACAAAAGGACAACAGGTATATGAAATGATCATCATGGACATGAAAATCAAAACCACAATGAGATACTACCTCACTCCAGTTAGAATGACTGTTATTAAAAAGACAAAACAAGTGTTGTCAAGGTGTGTAGACAAGGGAACATTGACACACCTTGTTGGCAGCATAGTAAACTAGTATAGCCATTATGGAAAACAGTATGGAGGTTACTCCAAAAATCAAAACTAGAACAACCATATGAACTAGCAATCCCACTACTGGGGATATATCCAAAGGAAATGAAGTCCATATGTCAAAGAGACATCCGCCTTCCTGTTTATTACAGTGGTGTCATCATAGCTCACAGCAACCTCAAACTTCTGGGCTCAACTGGTCCTCTTGCCTCAGACTCCTGAGTAGCTGGGACTACAGGTGGGCACCACCACACCAGGCTAATTTTTCTATTTTTAGCACAGACGGGGTCTCACTCTTGCTCAGGCTGGTCTTGAAATCCTGAGCTCAAGTGATTCTCCCGCCTCAGCTTCGCAGAGTGCTAGGATTACAGGTGTGAGCCACCATACCTGGCTAAGACATGATATTACATGTATACTTTGATTCCAGGAATGTTAAAATATGAAGGAAAGAAACCACTACCAACACAAACACACATCTTGGAATTAAGGAAATGCAGAATTTCATTCAACTGTTTTTTGGTGTTTGCTGCTGATAGGCTAGGTAGGGCTAATTTTATGAAAGCAATTAAACAAACTTTTAAAATTAATATACATGGGCAGAATTAATGAAAATTGAAGGCAAATAAAAGTTTTCTCAGGCCCATAGATTAATTTTCTTTTATTCTCTTTTCAAAACAAAAACAAATACTTGGCAGTTGGGGAGGTGCTATACATGGTTAGCATGGAGCATCTTATAGTGCTGGAAATTAAGGAAGTGCTCAAAAACCAAAAATTAAAAACAATGATAGAGGCCAGGTGCGGTGGTGGCTCATGCCTGTAATCCTAGCACTCTGGAAGACCGAGGCGGGCAGATTGCTCAAGGTCAGGAGTTCGAAACCAGCCTGAGCAAGAGTGAGACCCCCATATCTACTATAAATAGAAAGAAATTAATTGGCCAACTAATATATATAGAAAAAATTAGCCGGGCATGGTGGCACATGCCTGTAGTCCCAGCTACTCGGGAGCTGAAGCAGAAGGATTGCTTGAGCCCAGGAGTTTGAGGTTGCTGTGAGCTAGGCTGACACCACAGCACTCACTCTAGCCTGGGCAACAAAGTGAGATTCTGTCTCAAAAAAATAAACCAAAAAACATTGATAGAGGTATGTCAGAGGAGCACAGAAACCAACTGAAAGAGTGCCCAGTGGCCAAAGCTGGAACAATTTGAATAAGCAATTAAAGTAGTGTTGAATTAAAATACAAAATGTAAAATAAATATCCATGCAGCCATACCGATAAATAAATTACTAAATGTGCAGAAGAGACATCTTCCATGCAGAAGAATTGCACATAATTTATATAGATACTCCACCTTCAAGGACTTCCTTCCAAAGAGTATATAGTACAGGAATGTGGGGTGGAGAGGAGAGCAACTTTATGGTGGAAAAACCTGGCACACACTACTCAGCCAGGTGAAAAGCCCAGCGTCAATGGCATTAAATCATGTTGATAGACAGTAGGTGTGCTTGATGTGATGTGATTAGAATGGCACTTTACCCATGTGGTCTTCTTCCAAATAACCCATAACCCCAGTCTTAAAAAGAGAAGAACATCAGACAAATACCAATTATGGCACATTTTATAAAATATCTGACCAGTAACCCTCAAAACTGTCATGGTCATCAAAAGCAAATTAAATCCAGGAACTGTCACAGCCAGGTGGAGCCTAAAACGGCGTGATGACTAAATGTAATGTGGAGTCCTGGATCACACCCTGGAACAGAAAAAGTAGATTACATAAAAGCTAAGGAAACATAAATAAACCATGGATGTCAGTTCATAATCTTTCATCAATAGTGGTTTATTAATTGTTACTTATATATCATACTAAACGTGAGAAGTTAATAATAGGCAAGATTGGGTGTAAAATATATGTAGAAAATCTTCTCAATTTTTCTGCAAATCTGTAACTGTTCTGAAAAATCAAGTCAATTTAAATGTTCAAATGCCTAAACAGAAAAAATAAAATTCATGGACAGAAAGCCAGGCGAGGGATTTTAAAGGAAAATTATAAAGCATTTTGTTAAGACCTTTCAAAATTCTACACAGATCACATCTTAAGCAGAACACATGTAACTGTTTAGTTGAAAAATGGAACTAGCAGCTTAACCAAGAATGTGACACTTCTAAATACATTCAAATTGAGTCATTATTACTTTTCATCTATGGAGTATTTTGTTTTTCCAAAATTCTTTGAAATTTCTGACTCCAAGATGGCAAAGTTTTACCGTTATTTTGAAGCTAATGCCATGTCTATAGTTTGGACAGCCGTCTTGACTCATCTGTCTAATCTAAATGTACAGTTCAATCCGGAAACCAGCCATCAGCTGTCAGAATGGTAAAACAGTTATATGTAATTTTCAAAGCCAGAGATTCAGTCCTGTGGTGAGACTTCTGAGTTTCACTGTTGTCCACAGTTCTGCCTCTCAGAACTCATGCCTTACTTGGTATTCTCCCATGGAAAGCTTTGTCGGGGAATTATAGGGTCATATTTTCAAGTCTTGGAACTTGTCTACAGTTACCTTTCTAAAAAACAAAAAAATTCCTTTAAAAGCATTTTTTTAAAAGGAATTATGCAAAGGTTGCCAAAAAGAAAGAACTTTGGGGTTTTTGCACTGAGTCAAGTTGTACACATTGCAGAATATTCCCCTCAGTCCAGGGCATCATTTTATTCCCACCCTCCACTTCCTATATCCACAAATTCAGGTGTGTTTGGATCTCCTGATAGCCAAGGGAATTATAAAAGGAAAGGGGAAGGCACTGACTACTGGAACAAGCAATCTAGAAATGGCGCCCTTGGATTTCTTGCTCTCTCCCAGCATTCCCCCCGTCCAGGACAGAGGGGGACACATCCGGTCACTCTCCCTGGTGCTCTTGCCAGGCCAGCACCGGAGGCCCCCATGGCCAGGGCTCACATGCGGCCAGGAACCCACCACCTTCCTTCAGGAAGACGATCAGCCCTTTCAGGGGAAACCAAAAGGCTAGCGTATTTTGAAAGCCAGCAGGGGAAATGTCTGCCAGTTATTTAGCCCTGGGAGTCTGAGAATATGATGGTTTCATTTTCTGAACCAAGAATTAGGGCATACCGTCTGACAACATGACCGAATAGACTGCATGTGAACTTGAGACAGTCCCCGGAAGTTCAGGGTGAGCGGTCATGGTCGCTGCAGGATCCGGAAACGTAAGCCAAGACATGGGTCGTGCTGGTTTGATGGTGGCACCCTCCACAGAGGTGCATGGGGACATCGGGGGTGCAGCGCCATCGAGGGCCCTTCCTCAGCAGTCCAGAGGGTAGCCACAGCAGGAGTTGACCTGATGACAGGAGAGCCCCAGGCTGCTGAACCCCAAGTCCCCGATGAACACCCCCTGGTGCTCAAAACTCTCCATCTCTCCCTTTCCCCCTCTTTCCTTGTGGAGTCCGAAGTGCCCAGAGCCCAGACATTACTCCCCCTGGCTCATCTCCTCTTTACCTGTGTCCCAGGAACACCCAAAACAAGTGCAGGGACCCCTGCAGGGACACAGCCATTTCTGTAAGCACAGGGTTTACCCCTGTGTGAAGCAAGCAGCAAGAGATCTTATCACATGCCTCTGACCGGTTAGAGAGGAGAGGCGAGTCAAAGAAGGTGCAGTGAGGAAGTATAATGTCACATGCAACATTTACAGGAAGCTGGCCAGAAGACAGCAGGGGAACTTGAGCACTGGGTCGTTTTCTGCCGATTAAGACAACACAGGTTAGTGCTACCCCTCCGGCCCCCCAAAAAACCTTTCATGGCCACTCTTAAACAACCTGATTTTCTTTCCTTGAACTGTCTCTGTTTCTCTGACTTGAAGAACTTGCTTTGGCTCTGGATGGAAGAGCTGGCACATGGCTGGTAACCGCGTATTGTTAGAGGAACAAACATTGAGCCATTATGGTGAAAATGAAATTCTCAGAATCTCTTGCTTCCCTGTTTAGAACTTCTGTGCCTCTAAAAAAACAAAACTTCAGATGTGCACTAGATAACTTATTATATGGAATTCAGCTAGGCCTCTTGTCATTTTTACCTATTAGCATAAATCTGAAATGGGGCAGATAGGCTTGTGTTTGCAGACGTGGGGGGGGGGGTTCAAAGGGTGTTAGAAGATACAGAAATACTGTGCGTAAAAACATCCTGCAAGGCTGTGTGCAAAAGCTCGTTGTTTTTATCTTGTTTTTATCTCGTACTTTTCATCTTGTAAAACACATCTTTTGGCTTATATTTTGTGTTAAAATAATTTCTCATGTTGTTACAAATTCTTAAGTTTCCTTTATATTTTCTGCTCTCTTTCTTCCCTTTTTTCCCCCCTTCTCTTACTAACATAAAATGGGAGTAGAGAAGGAGAGGTAGGGGCAGCTTGACTATACTCTGCCTGCACCAGAGTTTAAGAACCACACACAGCCTGAACAGGCCATGAGGTTTGCTTGTCACTAGAGCTTTCTGTCCTCAGCCTGGTGCTTCCTGTAGAAAGGAAGACTTGAAGAGTCTACAAAAGAGCCAGAAAGATGGTTAGACATTGCACAGTAAGAGCCCAGAAACATGCAGAGGGACCAAGATTATTCCTCCTATGGACAGTGAGGGGCAGTTTAATGAAGAACCTCAAGTCATTAAAAGGCTTTTACAAATGATCTGCCGCATTCAGATCTATGTATGGAAAAGGAAAATGTCTCAAATCTGAATTAGAAGAAGGAAGTTACTATGTTGCTGAACTGCTGTGCTCTTGAACAGGTTAGCCAAGCTGAGCTTTTACTGGATGTCTTGGAAACATACTAGATTGCTTCTTTGGCTGTGTTCATATGTTAATTGAGGCAGGGAGGATCCTTAGAGGAGACCAGGATTAGGATCTTCCTGTGCCATCTCTTCATTGAAATCTGAAGTGTTCTCTAAAATGTGTCTGTACCAAAAAAACAACGAGGGGTTGAAGGGTTAGCGGACTCACGTGTTGTTTATATCCCAATAATACCAAGTAACCAGAACAGTGATGAAAGAGAAAAATCATCGTTGATTCCATTCTCAGATTGCCACATTTTTTTCATTTTTTTACTACCATGTTGTGCAAGAAAATGGAGAGGAAGCTGACAGAATAAGGGAAGATTCTAAGCTGGAGATTTCAGCGCTGAGGGTTTCAGAAACCCCGTGCTAGCTCTGACTGAGGCAGCCCACGTCATCATTGGGTTAGGGGGATGGAGGGAAGATTGGATTTACTGCCAGTTGGGGCCCTTCACACGGGCCAGTAGGAGACACGCAGATGGGAACTGCCATAGTCAGGTCTCTTGTACGCGGTGCTACCTCCCCTCCTGCACCAGGAGCGACTTGCAGCTTAGCAGTGGCTGGACATCCCTCGAAGGAACTCTTCTTTCGGTTTTGTTTTGCTTTTTTAATTGGTCATAGAGCTTTGTTGTTCAGGGAGTTTTGTATTCTGCTAATCTTCTGCTCATGATAGAAATGGGCTTTTTATTTTGTTAAAATACTTTCCAGATGAACCTGATGTCTTTTTGTAAATGTATCTTTCCAAAAGCAGCTGTTTCCAGTTCTTTAGAGGGTAACTTCTCTCCCCAGCCATTGCTCAGCCTCTTTTCCAGCTTTCTACTTTCACTGTGTTCCTGTGTGTTTGAGATGCAAGAAAAGGTTTATAAAGTGTCGTCATTATGCAACACCTCTGATTCCCAGGCCTGGAAGTAGTTTTTTTCTTCAAAAAAAAAATAGAGGATGCAAACTGGCAGAAGGTGGCAGATCCTGTTGGGTGGTGGAGAGCACCTCCAAGTATTAATCTTGCTTGCAATTTTTAGACTGGAATGAATGATAAGTTGAACACTGAGTTCAGTTTGAAGGACATAGTGGAAAGAGATGAATGGTCACCTTTAACCTGGAGAGAAAATGAGTGAATTTTATGGTGAGGAACAGTACGAGCACATTCCTGAATTCTCTACATAAGAAGAGGAATGGGGCTGACTTCACAAATCTCTCTTCTTCCCCAGACCCTGACACACAGCAGGCATCTTCTCCCCAGAACTCCAGATAATTCCAGAGTTGAGATTGTGAGTCATTATCTACAGATGCTTGGGCGGCCTGGGTTTCAGAGGGATAAAATGGGGATGCATGCCAAACATTCATGTGAGTAGGGAAAAAGAAAATAAAACTCTGATAACCTCAGCCTTTACAACTGAACTCATCCTTCGTCATCATTTTAAGTTGGCATGAGCAAATCTGGAGGCCCAGCTCTCTGGATTGCTTAGAGAGAAGTTCCTGGGCATGTGTAAGGTACTATTGTTGTCACCATCACACTGGGAAATACTAGGAACCATAGGTTTGGGGGTTGGTTTTTTTTTTTTTAATTGTGATAAAAGACACATAGTATAAAATTTATCATCTTAACCATTAAGTGTACAGTAGTGTTAAATGTATTCACATTGTTGTAAAACCAACCTCCAGAACTCTTTGATCTTGCAAAACTGAAATTCTACACTCATTAAATAGCAACTTCTCATTCACTTCCTCCCCAACTCCTGGCACCCACCTTTCTAGTCTCTGTCTCTATGAATTTAATTTCTCTAGGTATCTCATATAAATGGAATTTTACAATATTTGTTTTTCTGTGAATGTTTTATTTCATTTAGCATAACGTCTTTAAGGTTCATCCAGGTTGTAGCATGTGTCAGAATTTCCTTCCTTTCTAAGGCCAAATAATATTTTACTGTATATATATATCACATTTTTATACTTATTCATCCACTGATGGATGTTTGGATTGCTTCCACTTTGGGGGTAGTGTGAATAATGCTGTTGTAAACATGGGTTTGCAAATATCTCTTTGAGGCCCTGCCTTCAGTTCCTTTGGTGTATACCCAGAAAGTGGTATTGCTGGCTCATATGGTAATTCTATGTTTAGCTTCTGAGAATCATCCAGTAATTGTGTCTTCTTATACCACCCTCCCTCTCCAAACACATGTTTGAAGATAGCTCAGATTGCAGGGTCATTACCATTTTCCATCATGAATACCTCGAACAAAACGTTCATGTTTTGTTTCTGGGTAGTAAGGATCCAAAGGGGACTTGGGGTGTTGTCCCAGGACAATGAGCAAGACCAGTGGGTGTTATTCTGGAAAAGTGGCCACGGTAGGTGCTTAGATTACCGATTTTCTGCAAGGAAACGGAAGGAGAGATATGATGGACAGTTTGACTCAGTGCTGTGTGGTAATTCTGTTGCTGAAGGTGCTGTCTGCTAACTAAAATATCATGAATGCAATGTATGCTCATGACACTACTAGGAGAGAGATTGCCTGTGTATGCCTGATCGATTTTTTTACTCTGCTATCTCAATTTCCCTCCATTTCTTCATCAGTTAGAACGTTGGTGCTGTTTAAAGGAGAAAAAAAGTCTCTAAGTGTGTCCCCCCCAAAAACAAGCATCAGATGATGACAAAAATGGTTGCATTTGTTTGTTTATGAAAAGGACAAGAACAGTTGCATTTGTTTGTTTATGAAATGGCATAGGAAGCCTTTCCGGGAAAATAATAAACTGGGAAAAGATAAGTCCTTAAAGTAGAGCCCTATCTTGGTGAAACAAGCTTAATTTAAGAGGCATTTATTCCTAGTTTATATGACATCTTGTGCCAGTTTCACCAGGAAGTATTCATGTACCACTAGCATTGTAATTTCTCAGTGCTAATGAGAAGTTATTGCTTTGGGACTGTCTAACGAGCTAGATACTTACCAGAATGTCTATTTTGCTCTTTTCTGGTGTGAATTAGGCTTCCTTTCTATTTGTGTTCATGCCTAGATTTTTAATATGATGTATTTTAAGTTAACTGATTGTATTGGTTTGTCATCCTAATGTGGCTTAAAAACAGAGTCTTTTGTTATAGTGGGATACGTGTTTGAATGAGTACACACACACACAAATATATGTGTGTATACTATATGTGTATGTATACTATATATATAGTATGTATATTATAATGGGGGGAGATCCTTAAGGGCATATGTTTCCTCAATTAAAAGTCATTAGATAATACCTTGGAACCTGTAGTCATTTGGAATATGCTGCTAACTTCAGACGAGGATCTTATGCACATATTATACTTAGTCATTTGGAGGGTTTGCTAGTGAACTGCCCTTCTTGCAGTAAGTTACTGCTGTATTGAACGGTGGTGATTTAGAGCACCTTCTTTGATTTCCATGGCAGCAGTGGAAAGATTTGGTCTTTAAGGTCTTAAAGGCTTTAGAGACACGTAGAATGATTGTGACTCCTGAAAACGGCTCCAATAGAGGGGAGGGGCTGCCCAACACCGCCCAGCCTGCCGTGCAGAAAGCTGCACAGAGGGCGCTGCTAATGGGAGAGAACTGGTGTCACGACTCCGCCTTCTCACTGCAGTGTGACTGCTGAGGAAAGTCCCAGTTCTAGAGTCATTTAGTGAAATGAACATTCTTGATAAACTGCCATCAGGCCTCTCCTGTGACCTCTTTCAAAGCAAACAGTGTATGTCTTCACTACTTCTCATCTTCCCTGTGCTTTCCCTCTTCTTTCTGCTCCTAATTTTCACCTCCACCATTTCGTGCCCATTACCTTCTGAAAACTCAGACCAGAACTTGCCTGTGTGCACAGCAGGCTTCCTCCCCTGGCCCTGTCTCTAACTAAGCTTTTTATTCCTCTTCTCCAGAGCATTTAATAACCTTCCCTGCAAAACAGGGACAAATCAAGGCTAATGAGCATAG